TCCTTCAGACCCCACATATTTTTCCCTCTTGGCTGCCAGGGACCAGCTTCAAGAGGAAGGCTGGGGAGCAATCTGGGCAATGCCTAGGCTGTGGCCAGGTGGCTGGAGCACTTGGTTGGGAATCAGGAGATACAAATTTGAAACTCCCTTTGGTTTGGGGAGGAGGGAAACAAAACCTGAATCTGCCACCCCCTGGGCAAGTACCCTAACTACTAACTACTGGGTTAAAATGTGGGCGAGCCCTCCATTTCCATTGGATGTTCTCTAGTCATGGATCTTCTTCAGCTAATGTTTTGAGGAGTTGCACATGCTGTCAGATCAGGGTCGGGCAATTATTTCGGGTGGAGGGCTGCTTACCCAGTTTTGACAAGCTGTTGAGGGCTGCATGGGTACCCCCGCCACTTGACAGGTGCCCCGCCCCCTGGTCACCATCTTGGTACCAATGTCCCTATGTCTTGGGACCAGTGTCTCAGGGCCAGCACCGGTGGAGCCCAGAGCGGTGCGCAGGCTGGCAGGGATCTGTGGAGCCGGGCTGGGCTGCATCAGCAGGGAGAGGTGGGAGCTGGCCCAGTTCCATAGAGCCCCTGCCGGCCGGGACCCTGTACACCTGCCGCCCTGCCCTGGGCCCCACTGGCGCTGGCCCTGGGACACTGGTGTGGGCCCCGTGCTCCCACTCACTCCAAGTCCCCCCCCAGCTCCGCAGTACAGGTGGGGGGCAGCATGCAACCCTGACCCCTTGCTCTCCAGCAGGGGACAATCTGGTGTTGAGTGCAGGGAAAGGTGACCCCTCCCCCGCCCCGTGGCCTGTGCTCCCTGCTGCAGCTGCTCGCAGCCCACATGGGGATACCCTGAGCAGGCACAGGCAGCCCCACATGGGCTGTGAGTGGCTGCAGCATGGGGCACTGGCTATGGGGCGGGCGAGGGGCAGCTTTTCCTATGCTCAGCACCAGCTTGTAGCCTGCCCCCGCTGACAGCCTGGGGCCTGCACCAGCTCCAGGTTTGTCCATCAGGGCTGCACACGGCAGCAGCAGCTGCAGCCCCCCCACTTGCCGCGCCAGGCAGTGTTTGCCACCGCTGCCTCTGTGCTGCCCAGTGCACAAGCTTCGGGTGGGCAGCAGCAGCAAACACTACCCTGCTGTTGCAGGAACCCACCGGGCTTCCCCTGGGTCCTACTGCCCCTGGTTTCTGTCATTTTTTACTGGAACCAAGGACAGATCAATATTAATTTTCTAAAATTTTTAGGGGCCCCGGGGGCCAGATAGAATAGCCTTGATGGCCGTATTTTGCCCACCCCTATCTCAGATGATTCTGTTCCTCCCTGGAGCCTACATGGCAATAATTGCATGCTCAGAAGAGCAGTGTGGGGCCAGTATAGCTGCACAAATGGAAAGAGAATCTAAAATGTACTGAAGTTCCAAAAATTGAACGTAGGCAGACAAGGTTCTTTGGGTAAATGTGATAACTTTTATAAGACCAACTGAATAGTTGGGAAATTTGTTCTTTGCAAGCTTTCAGGAACAAACACCCTTCTTCAAGCATAGGGAGAGTCTGCTGGTGTTGTGTTTTCCATGGTTGAATAGAAGCCAATATGCAAAATGCAGGTCTGTGAAAATGTAAATGCATGGCAGTGAAGATCAGAAAGAATGGGAGATAATAGGTATGAGACAGGTAGGTGCGGGAGGACAAGGTGGGAATGATGAACTGGTGATAGAATGTAGCTGGTAAAATGCAGACAGGTTCCCTGGGGTTATCAGATGGCAGGCAGGTTATAATGTACCATATATCCAATGTTTATATTTAGTCTATGGTTTTTTTCTATCCAGTAGATTTATGAAATGAAGTTTGTAGGCTCATCCACAAAAGGTGTTTTGTAAATTCTCTTTGAGGATTAGACCTGAGAGATTGGAGAAAGAGCACAGGTAATTGGATATTTTTGTCTTTGAACACACGCCGAAAATCTATCAAAGACAAAAATATCCAAAAATATTTTATCACCAATTCAACATTCCCCCTTTGCAACTCCCATCTACCTGTCACACACACTGTCTCCCATTCCCTCTGATCCTCACTGCCAAACATTTGCTTTTTCACAGACCTGCATTTTACATATTGGCTTCTATTCCACCACAGAGAACACATAACACCAGCAGAGTCTCCTTATACCTGAAGAAGGGTGTTTGTGCCTGAAAGCTTGCAAAGAATATTTTTCCAACAATTAGTTGGTCTAATAAAAGATATCACATTTACCCAAAGAACCTTGCCTGCCTATGTCCTTAGACTAAAACAGGTACAACCAACAACCCAAAAAATTGAGCTTCACATAGGCATGCAAGTGCCACTGAGGCATACAGAGGTAAAATAGGATCAGGCCCCAGTTCTGGAGGGCTCCTGGACAGCTTGCAGAAACCCTAGTATGTTACAGGGTTTCTGACCTTCCACAGAAGCATCGCATCAGGTGGGTATCTATCATTTCCAGGGCTGGCAGCTGGATCAAAGTGGTTCACCTCTCATACCATATGCCTTGCACTTGCTAATTACAATTAACTTTGAGAAAGAAAGGCTAGTTCCCATACAAAACAATATTTAACGTTTACATTCTATTTTTGAAAATCCTGCAGCTTTTCACTGTGACCTTGCTCCTTGCTTTTTTAAAGATCCACACCATGGCATGCATTTTCTTAAAGATCCACAGAGCTTTCCACTAAATTTATTCTCAAAAAATTGGAAATCAGAAAGCAAAACTAGTCCCCTCCAATTCTGCTGCCAATCATTGCTGTTTTCAACTCTGTCAATGAGAAGCGATGAGATACTCCTCTTATTTATATCACAGTTCCCATTGCTGGCAGTACCAAAATGCCACATTATCAGTCGATGTCTGAAGATGAATGCTGACTATAATGCAGGTGCTCCAATATACATTAGCATTTTATGCATATGCAGCTGTTTCTTAACTGTCCACCCTGCTCCAATCTATTTTAATCTGTTTGCTGCTCATTTACAAATGTGGCAGGTGAGCAACTGAGGATTCACGACAGTTGCACTGTACACACTGTTTGATGTCATGGAAGTGCAAAATAAGGCACGTCAGAAGCTGTTGCATTCATTTCTCCAGCACTGTCTGTACTATGGCAGAACAAATACTGCCAAAAGGGTAAAACAGCTGGGGTCCACTGCAAATCAACATAATTACCCTGAAATTAAGTCAATTATATGTATGCAAACAAATCAGAATTGCCAAGTTCTGCATCTATATGCATGTTTGCATTACTACTGTTCAGTTCTTGTTTGTCTAAGGCTGTGCACCTTCACATAATTGTTTCATATGTTCCAGCCTTGTTCTAGCAGAAGCTCCAGGCAATATTAACAAAGATAAAAGATCGGTGCACTATGTGGAAACCTTGTTCCTTTGCAACTCATGGAACCAGGGATGAAGGCTGCTCTAGGAAATATTTATCTTCCAGCTGTTCATTTTAATACCCCTATGTTGCTGATGCTGAGCAAGTTTTACTGCTATGAGCTGAAAAATCAGCCCTGCTTATACCAGGTACATCAGATACCAGGCACAGGACAGCTCCACAGCCAGTCAAGAAGGGATAAGGCACAAGCCAAAGGGAATGACATTTTATGTTCTGTTACCCTAAAATAGACACCTTCGAATCCAGAGTAGCTAGAGGATCAGGCACAGCTAAAATAGCTTTTGAGAAATATTGTCTTTGTTTGGACAAGCATTTCTTCATACCCCTCAAAACACAAATATTAGTAAATGAAAAAACAGAACTGGGTCATCACATCAAACATTTAAAACTGCAGTTCTGCCAGCCTGTGTGACCCTACAGGCAAAACTCACAGACTGCTCCAGTTCTTTCAGTCTGTCAAGACGCCAACATGGAGTTCTCACCTGTCTTCTCATAAAGACAGTGCACCAGGGAGAGGAATATTATTACTCATCATGCCCAGAGGCAGTGTTGCATTATTATTTTATATTCCTTACAGGTGGAATCTATCCAATCTCTGCCTGGGGCTTCAAAATTAGCTCCTGGATCAAGCCCCAGGCACTTCAGTTCCTTTATTCTCTCCCTTCTCCCCAACAAGAATATTCTGGGTGGGTTTCAGAGACAGGACAGAAACAAAACAGAAATGGGGCCCTGGCATTGCCCAGTCCAGACAATTAAACCCCATTTCTGAGGGGCCTTAAAAAATCATCTTCTCCATTTGCTACTAAGAAGGGAAGCATTTCTTGAAATAGTTCAAGTCTAACAAATTCATGTGTTGAGCACAACGTCTTGTGTTTGATTAAAGCACAACTTGTGTTTGCTTAAGGAATATCTTTCTGAATGGCATCCAGTCTTCCTTTAATGACATCAACAGATGGAGAATCCACCAGTTCCCTTGGTAGTTTGGCTAATCTACCTTCCATGTGAAAAATTTGCACCAAATTTCAAATTTAAATATTTCTGATTTTGAATTCCAACTATTGGTTCTTATTATACCTTTTCAGCTAAAATAAAGAGGCCTTTAATGATCTTCATGTCTCTCATTGGAAGGCTTTCTCTTTAGCTGCTGATCTTTAATTAAAGAATGTTTAACATCTTTAAAAAATAAGCATCTGAACTGTATGTAATATTCCTCAATACCTCGTACTTCCCTGTTTCAGCTCATTACTTCTCTGTTTATACAGCCAAGGATATCAGTGTCCCATTTTGTAACCCATAACATTACACTCATACAGAGTTGCTCATTCAATAAGACCCCCTAAATCCTTTCTAGAGCCACTGGCTTGTGGAATACTGTCCCTCCATCTCTGTAAGCTGAGCCTGTGTTCCTTGTTCCTAGAGGGATGTATAATCTTGCATATTGAAATAAATTTCATTTCAGTGGTCTCAACCTAAAAACTGATGCAAATCACACAGTATGACTGCCATGCCCTCCTCTTCATCTACTACTTCTACACTCTTCATGCTAGCTGAAAAATTTACCTGCCATGAGTTTACCGTACTTACCAAATGTGTACTGTATTTTACAGTATATAGCTTGACACATTGTATAAGTTGACCCCCACATTTCTGTAAAAAAAAGTTAGGATTTTTGTACGTCCAATGTATAAGTTGAACCTGTTTCAGTGTGTTATGTGCTGGAAGCCCGGGTGGGCTCATGGGAGAGGTGGCGTATTGGTAGGCTTTGGGGAAGTTGGATCAGGCCCCAAGGTGCTTGGGCAGCACACGACCCACTAGCAGCCCGCCTGCCCATCCCCAGGGGCGCTGCCACCATGGAGGAAAGGAACAGGCCTCCCTACAGTTCAGGGGCTGCCCAGGATGGTGGTAGCTCGGCCCCTGGTGAAGACTGGACCCCTCACTGCTTTTGCCTTTAGCAGGCACCTGCAGCCGGCAGCATGACTGCCGCCGCCCAAGAAGAGACTGGCTTGCCCCAGGGGCAGCACAGGGTGTCAGGTGGGGTGGGGGGAGGCCAGCCCAACACCCAGCGCTGCCCCCAGGGCAAGCCAGCCCTTCCCGGATGACAGCAGGCATCCTGCTGACTGCAGGTGCCTGCTGAAGACAGAAGGGGCAAGACAGAAGGGGCTTTCAGCGGAGCCTCCCCACCTGCCCTGTGGCTGGAGGGTGAGCTGCCACTGGTGCAGACAGCCCCTGAGCTGCAGGGGGGCTCAGTCCTTCCCTCCATGGTAGTGGTGCCCCCAGGGCCGGCCAGGCGGGCTGCCAGCAGGCTGCGTGCTGCCAAAGCACCCAGGAAGCTCCTAGGGGGGTCCAGGCAGCACTGCTCACAGGGGACAATGTATAAGTAGAGACTGAATTTTAAGAGTAAACAATTTGTCTTCAAAACTTGACTTATACACTGTGAAATATAGTACTTCCGGTTTGTTGATGAAAATGGTAAATAGCACTGAGGCTAGCATGATTTTACAGTATGCCACTAGAAACATTCCCATTTGATGATTCCCTATGGATCTCCACATTCCTTTTTCTAATTTCCCCTCAGGGAACACAAAGACAGGAGTGGTGAAACAAGAGAAGCCACAGAGAAGGGCAAGCTGTGGAGGAGCTCTGTCTACTCAAGCCATGCAGCAGAGGGGAAGCTATCCATGTTTTAATAGAGGAGGCAGAGTGCACTGTTATTTTGATCTCCCTGGCTACAATCAGATGAGTGCAGCCATGCGGTATGTGGCACCACAGACATGTCTACGGCACCACATGCTGCATGTTCAGTTGTTCTCCATGCTGCAAGGGAGCAGTACAGGGCTTTTTTTTGACCCCTCAATATCCAGGGGTCTAAAAAACTTGTGGGGAAAAAAAAGCAGAGTGGCACACAAGGGGAGGACAAGTGCTCCACTCAAAACCAGAGTCTAGGCCACACTCTGGCCCAGAGTGTGGTGGAGCCACACTCTGGCTGCCACCACCACATGGCAGGATCACCATTGCTGCAGCCCCAGGGGGCGCCCAGGACCCCAGGTAAAGCTGCTGGGGCCAGCCCACTGCTGGCCCCAGGCTCCCCTACCGGACCCGGAGTAACTTGCTGCGTGCCAGAGCATGTGTGGCACAGGTGTTCCCTGGGGACAACCAACAGTGGCACAAGGGGCACCACTGCTAGTTGTACCTGGGACACCAAATGTCCACACATGTGTGGACGCGGCCCCCGTGGGCACATGTGAGTGAGCACCAGGGAAGGGCTGAATATGGAAAAACTACAATTCACTCAGGTCTTGCAGCTCTCTGTATTTTAGGAATCAAGAACAGATTGTGTGTACACCTCATTCAAAGAACAGATCTGCCCAAGCAATGATTTCCCCCTCTTATCTGCAGGACCCATTATTCACACCAGTGAACTATAGTCTTGGTAATGGCTTCTCCCAGGGCAATCCCACTCATAAACTGGCAGTTTCCCTGTTTTGCCTATATCTGTATAATAAGAGAGCCTGCTAACTTTATAGAGCTAATATTCTCATAGGAAATAATGGAAGATAAAAAGCCACTGAATTCTTCTGTGCAAAAGGGTTTTTTTCTATTGTGCCATGTAACTCAAATGTTAATCTATTATAGCACGTGCTGGTAGTGATTCCCATAGTTAAGGTTATACAATGCTTTCCATTATAACCTAAGACCTTTCTATCATTCAATTAAGTTTCCAGAAAATTATTTATTCCAGGGCCTGGCAGTGGTGAAAAGGAGGCTTTTCACCCATCCCGAGCAGTAGCTTCTTCCTAATTGCCACCGCTGCTGCCACTGCTCAGTGTGGGCATGAGAGTCCAGAGCAGGCATGGGGTGGACCAGGGCTCCAGGGTACATGCAGGTCTCCACCAGTATCACAGGGCTGGGGCCAGTGATAGCAGTGGCAACTGGAAGGAGCCACTGCCACCTGTGCTGCCTAGAAAGGCAGTCCAGCTGTGGAGCTGCCCCAGCCCTGCTGCGTGCCCAGGGGATAGTGGGATGTGCCACGGGCCGAACAGTGCCTGGACCAGGCAGGACTGAGGGTCCTGCTGCAGGCTGGACAAAGTCCCTCCACGGGCTGAATCCAGCCCATGGGCTATGTTTTGCCCACCCCTGTCTTAGACCCACAAAGCTAGGGAGTTTAAGTCACTCCAAGATCTAACTCACTTTAACCAATTTAAACTAATTTCTGGCTCTAAAAAGTGTCTGAAGCAGTTTAAACATGTCCTTAAAGTAGCTTAAGCAGCTTGAACCAGTCTGAGGGCTAGAAGTTGTTTAAGTATCTTCAGTGTTTAGCTAATGTGTGGTCATGCCTCTCCAACTGCACAGTTTGGGCACAAGAGATGGGCACTAGGATAGGCCTCCAATTGTCCTACTCCTTGATCTCAGGTAGAATCTCCAGGGACAGTGGTATAAGGCTGAGCAGTTGTGATTTTCTCTACCAGATAGAGATGATACATAAAATCATATGACTTGAAGGGACACCTAAGCCTCAGAAGAGTGGGATTTAGAGTTAGACCCAGGCATATACATATATGTGTGGCCCCCTCTTCCAAAGCAATGGCTACAGTTTTCTGAATCAGAGAGCACCCACTGTGTTGAGGCCAGTGACCAAGCCCATGGCTAAAGGGCTCCATGGGTCAGGTATCAAATTCAGGCTTCCTATATAGAAGACAAGAATCCTACCACTAAACTATTACTGCTGGACATTAAACACTAGCCAGTTTGCTACAGCATTAACTAGAGAATAGCCACTCCTGGAATTCTGAAAGCAATCTTTACTCTCCTTCCATTTTTTGGAGATGAATTGGAAGGAGGACTGGATCTGATTTATTGATCTGAAGTTTCTAGTGTGGTCTTGATAGTAGTAGGTTGACAGGTAAGTCTGACCCAGTATTGTGAGGGGTCCATCTTTCAGTTCTAGCTTATATGTAGATAAGATAGTAGGAAAAATGTTGACCATGTAAAAGTTAAGTCCAAAACAGAGAAAGCCTTTTGAAATAAGGTATCCATACACTGAGAGGCAGTTCAGAAGATTTGGTATCATCCCCCTAAATCTCACATGTTGTTTAACTATATCGTGTAAAACACGGTATATAACAGACTGTATGTAATCCAGCATCTCAGCCCATCTGTAACTTTTAGGTCTAACACTATTACACATGGAGTGTGCAATGTGACAAATTTAATGTAGCTTTTGCATTTCTTGACCTTTTACACTGAAATTATGCAACCCTAACTTTGTTGTAGCATAGGTTTGAGGGGTCTTTCATTTAATTATTTAATAGACATGGGCAAAATGTTACACATTTCTATTACTGATCCTCATGGGAAATGTTAGTTGTTTTATTACGTTCTGCCTTTGTGATTATACTACACATATAGGCTGCTGGGTCCTTTGTTTTATTTTCTCTTCATGGCCTTTCCTGATCACTCTCACTCCCTTTTCTCTGGGAACACAATTTCTCTTTGAACTGTTCCCACTGAGAACCCATTTATTAATCCTTTTCCATAGCTCTTGCTCTTTCACCTCCCATCTCTAAGGTAAACTGCTGCCAATTGCCAATGTTCCTTTTTCTACCCTCTTGTTGTCCTCTCCTCCCCTGTCAAGGAGCTGCTGTCACTTCTGAGATGCAGGGAGGCCAAGTCTATTTTGTCTTTCTGCCAGCAGCCTGCAGTTTAGCTGGTCTTCCCCGAGTTACCGCTACCTTTGTGGCCAGAATGACAACTCAGAGGAAGCCAACTCAGCTGCAGCTTCCCAAGGAACTCACAGGTCCCTTTGTTTCACTGGGAGAAATCCAGAGAGCTCCCTTAACTGGATCAGGAATATCCCCACCACCACAAATAGTGGGGAGATTCAGAGCAAGGGGTTTCCCAGCCATAAATACCTGGAAAGATAAGAGAATCTGGCTCATGGCTTCAAGCCAGACCTCAATTCTCTCCCCAGAGATGAGTTGCAGCTTCAAGGCAAACTAATTTAAATTCGTTCTACAAATATGGCAAGGGGAAACATTTCTTAGGAGCAAATATAACTGTGCTGTTTGCAAACTGCTTACAATCAGCAAAAGGTCAGCATATCTATGGTTCTGGGGTTGGCAGTATGCCAGAAATGCAGGGCTTGTTTTCCTTTTTAGTAATTTAATTTTAATGGAACAGGCTGCAGGGAACATGCTAAAATGATTTTTATTGCTTCCATCTCCTGTGAAAACATCTCCCTTGGATTAACAGTAGGAGCCAAAGGTACTTAGTACCTAAGAAAAGATGCTCAGAAATTTGCAGGTTCTGGCTCTTGATGACAATTTCCCCAAGGGTGTCCTTCGAGATCTAGTTTCTGCCTGCTTCCTTCAGTCTCTCCTCTTTGAACAACTGCAAGGGTCTGGTGACTGAGAAAAATTAGCTACAGTGGCAATTTCTCTTTCAGAAGGTGATGAGAAGCATCTGGGAACATCTGAAGTAACCCCAGAAGAATCACAAGTCGAACATACATCAAAAATGCCTCTCCCCCACCCCCCGCCCACAGTGTATTGTGCAGTTGATATGACTATGGGTTCAGTGGTCCCCATGTTTAAATCGAATTAGCTGATGTGTGTAAAATAATAGGATCATAGGAAGTAGGGCTGGAAGAC